TTAAGACAGGGCAAAGATTTGCTGCTGCACAGGGCTGGGTTTTTATTTTCAAGATGAGTGACCCTTAGGATGGAGTGTCAAGTGCTGAGCAAGTAGCCCAGCTAAAGCAACGAGCAGTTCAACAGCGTATTTGTTTCAGGGCTTGGTGACTGTAAATCATTCTGAGGAACTGCAATAAAAAGAGAAGAATTCAATGTGTGTATTTGTAGCATTTGAGTGAGTTTACATAAATTAAAGCAATGATTTTTCAGCTGGTGCCCAGTTCCGTGTTCATCTCAGCTRTGTGGTTGCCATCTCTTCTCATTTTGCCTATGGGGCTTTACAGAAGCCTTGTAAGAGGTTTGGGTTTTTTTTTTTTTTGATATGACATGCGCAATAGGGCTGAAGCTGCCAGTTCTTCTCATCAGATGAGCAATATTTCATAAAAGGGAAGTTGCAAAAGCTTTGTCATGAGTGCAATTAGGCTTCATATTTTTATTCTTCTGTTTCTGACAGCTGTCTGTCACTTTTGACTGAGRCCTATATTGCTTGCTGAGTCACTAGTGAATTTTAGACGACTTTAAGATCACTTCCTTCAGTCTTAGCGATTTCTCATTATTTTATTTTAATCTTTAATCCCTTGAATAGTTATTTACGCCTTAAGCAGTCTAAAGCATAGCTTTTAGTAAGCTAAATTTCAGAAGTTGTGTGAATTTTCAGATGGTTTTCTRATGTTCAGCAGTGTCTCTTGCAGGCTGCAATGTCTGTCTCTGCTGCTGCCCTTAGAGGTGACTCCACTCTGGGCTCTGCCAAGTGCTTGGGCTGGATGAAGACCAAAGTCAGCTAGGCAAAGCCTGTTTTGGTTTAGTCAGCACAGAGAGAGAAATGTAAAGTTAACRTTGCTGCTTGCAGGCTGTGCAAGAAATCAAGGTATTTATAGCACAGAGCAGAGTCCAAGAGAATCAGAGAGTGTGGTTTGACAAACTSCGGTGAGTTCCGTCACGCCCGTGCCTCTGAGGAAGGGGCCCACGATAAATCTGACACTCCTCTGTGTTTGTCTGAAAGTCTGCTCTGTGTTTTCATTCTTGAGTGTCCTRAAGGTTTGCAGCTGGAGCAGGTGGGGTGGCACTGGGGTTGTTCTGGGTGTCCTTGCCCCGTGCTGTGCTTGGGGACACCTGCTGTACCTGAGCTGGGCTTTGGCACAGGAGAACCTGTGTGCAACAGGCCCTGTGTGGCTCCCACACTCGCTGTGGGATTTGTTGGGTGTTAGGGTTGCTACCAGAGTTTGGTTTGACTTAGATAACATTGTACACAGTCAGGTGTGGATTCATCCCTGCCATGATGGATTTACTTTCTCTGAGCTCATGGCAAYGCCAGGTTTGTCACCAATGCCACTTACAAAGTATAAAAAAAATTCATTCTGAATTAAGTAATTCCATCCACCGAAGCATGCTAGAAATGGGATTATGGAGGGCACAGGTTGACCATTTAATGGCTGGCCTGACTGTAGCATAATACATTTCTGTTAAGTTAGAGAGCACCCTCCAAAGACTTGTGGGTAGCCTCAAATACTGAAGGATTTTTTTTCCTCCTTGCATATTTCCTGTCCYCCATTCCCTCATTTTGCTGTGGGCTCGAAAAGCCTTTAGGGAAGGATGGCCTGTTTCTTACAAACCCTCCTTTGTCCAGCACAAATGAGCTGGTGTTTGGTCAGGAACCATGGTGAAAATAACTGTGTAATCATCTAAATGGCACCCAGACGCCCTTGAGAACGTGCTTGAAAATATTCCTTAGTGCTTGATGCAAATATGGAGGTACAGCAGCCTTCTGGCAGTGAAGTTGGGGTTACTAAGGAGCTAAGAGCAGGTTCTGACATGGTTTGGGGGTGGGATTTATTTTTTTTTTCCATGAGGCAGTGAAACAGGAGCCTTGGCTGGTGGACCCTGTGGGGTCACCAAACTCAGAGGTTTTCAAAGGCCATTTGGATCAAGCCTGAAGCAACACGATCTGAATGTGATGCTGACCTTGCTTTGAGCAGGAGGGTGGACTGGAGACCTCCTGAGATCCCTTCCAGCCTGAACAATTCTATTTTGATGTGATGAAAATGAATGGCTTTAAAACATGAGTGTTCAGGATGGAATAACACTTGATGACTGCTTACAAAGGTACCAGTGTATGCTAACAACAGGTTTTTAGCTTAAAGTTCAGGAACCCAGGATACAGTTTCTGTTGTTTGTATTCAAAGATACTTAAGGCTGACATGTAGTCGTGGAAAGAAAAAAGTTCATAAATAAACAATATGCTTGTTCCAAGATGTAAGCCATTGTTAGTCAAAGCTGCTGAGTGAAAATATGTTTTTATTCTTACAAGGTTTGCAGGTTGGCTTTAAATGGGCAGCTGGAGGGCTGCAGGGGTGAAATAGAATGAARCAGAGATGTCCCATGGATTGGCACTAGAAACAGAATTRTATCCTAAGAAAYGGCAGGTTACACGTGTGATTTTGCWCAAAGTAAAATTAATTTAACTTCYTGCGGTTGGTATCAGTAATTCAGAAACAGGCAAGCCTCATCCTCAGGAAGGCCTGAGGAAAACTGGCTAAATTAAAATTTTTTATTCCTATTTTTCGAGTTGCTTCATTTCATATAATATTGTACTTGCTTCTGGGACAATATATAATTGTGCAGTGGAGCTAGCAAGTTTGTAAATCCTTCGGTCCTTATCGTACAAGGGAAACAAGGGGAAATACAATTACTTTACTGAAGTACATCTGAATTTTACATACAGACACTTAGTTCTAATGTGAAAGCTCAGCTGGTTATTGAAATTCACGAGGATGACAGCTACAATAATGTTAACAACCAAATAATCTTGTTCCTGCATTTTCTGTCAGGGGAGAAGTTGGGGATACAACTTGTATCTTGTACTCGGTGTGTTTTGTTATGGAGACTTTGGGGCCCTTTGTTTTCCATAGGGAAAAAACAGTTTGTGCTGGTGTCATTCCTCACCTCTCTCATGTGGGATTTGCAAGGGTTTATTTTTAAATAAACAGAAAGGGATCATGTCAAGTGAATATCAAGCTTGTTTCCAGAGCTGTGATTTCTTACCTTCGGCACACATCTCAGGGCATGTTTAGATTGTGGGTGTCATGAGCAATTCCAAACACTGCAGGTGGATCASAGCACTGCCTGGCAGGGATTCCACCCAGGCTTTGCCCAGCAGCAGCAGGGCTGGGGCTTCCTTTGTTTGGACAGACTGCTTCAGGTTGGGAGGTGCTGTTGAAAACACATTTGGGTGCAGGTATGGAGCGGTCTGCTTCTGGTACGAGTTTCTGTCCATGGCAGAAATGGAAATTCAGGTAAAGAATGCAAGGGAGAGCAGCTCTGTGCAAAACCAACCCTTTGTTCTTTCTACCATTTAATTTTTTTTTAATTCTCAGAGAAGGCTTGTTTTCTTGTTACAAATAATTTTTGAGATTTCACAGAATCACAGCATAGTTGGTGCTGGAAGGGACCTCTGAAGTTTATTCAGTCCAATCCTCTGAGTCACCTAGGGCAGGTGACAGAAACATGTCCAGTTGGGTTTAGGATGCCCCCASAGAGGGAGACTCCACAGCTTTCCTGGGCAGCTGTTGCAGGGCTCTGCTACCCTCAGTGCTCAGAAGTTTCCTCTCATGCTGAGGTGGAACTTGTTTTTATTTTATGGTCATTGTTCCTCGTCCTTTTGTTGGGCACCACTGAAAAGAGTCTGGCACCAGACTCTTTGGGCTGTTGGGCACTTTTGGCGCCCATCTTGRAGAGTTTTCTGTGGATTGATGAAATTCCCTCTTGGTCTTCTCCAGCCTGAGATTTTAAGATCTGCATCATGACAAGGCTCCAGGTGCTTCCAAGCTTGGTTTTCAGCCCTTTTCAGTTAGCTGCAAGTTTCAGCCATCCTTCTCMTTTTAATGGCTTTTTTTTTCTTTCCATGATTTGTTTGTGTTTTTGAAGGTTGTGGCTTTTCCCTAAACTTGAGTGGTGAATACACCTGCAGAAGGGAAAAGGAATGACACCTTTCTATTTTTTGTGGTTTTCCTTCTGTTTAGAAGCGCTACTGCAAACACAGGCGTTTTGATTTCTCTGCGTGCTTGACCTTGATATAATGGCAGATTTTCCTGTAAATTTGGATGCTGTATTTACAGTAGAAGGTTTCAGAAGCGGACAAGTTGGGTGTATCACCAGGATGGGTGGCTGTGAGTGGCGCCTTTGGCTCCCTGCTGATCTGTTCTCAGTTCTAGTGAGCGAGCTGCTCAAGGCTGAGCTAATTTTACTTTTTTCCTCTGTGAGACCTGTTGGTTTTGCCCGGGATTTAAAGCAGAGTATTAAAMATGTTACTCTGTAGCACGTTCCAGCACTTCCAACTGGGCTGCAGTGAGGAAGCATCTTAGATCTCCCGAGACGTCTATTCTTGGCAGAATTCCACTGTGGGGAGGTTTGGACTGGAATATGGAATTTTTGAGATTTATGATGGAGCTGGTGCTCCATAATTTCAGCCTTAGCTGTGCACAGTTGTGCTGAACTGCAGTGTTTACCCAAATCCTGTGCCCAGGTATGTGTGCACAGTGTCAGTGGCTGGGAAAAAAGGCACATAATGTGTTTGCTGTTGGTCAGATTAATTTATCAATATGATACAATTCACGCTGCAGGGGAGGAAAAAAACCCAACCAACCCAAAACAAAAAGAGCAAAACCTGCCTTTCTTAAATAAATCTCCCTGTTTCCTCTCCAGCCACACAAACAGTAATTAAAGAGCACTTCTAAACACAAGTGCTCAGGGAGGGTAGAGCCTGCATGGGGGTGTTTTACCTGACTGTGAAGATAACAAGTTACGGAAGGCAGGGCCATTACCTGCAATAGGGAATTAACTCCTACAGAYGTGTTTACAGCCTTGCCGAGTCAAGCCTCCCCATTCCCTGCCTTTCACAAGTGTGTTCCCCGTTGGGTTGCCCAGCTTTCATCTCATCCCATCGCTGTGTTCTGTTTCCAGGCTGAAGCGAGACTCGCGGCGAAGCGAGCGGCGCGGGCGGAGGCGCGGGAGATCCGGATGAAAGAGCTGGAGAGGCAGCAGAAAGAGGTAAGGCCGAGGGTTTGGGGGCTGCCTGGGTTGTATCCAGGGAGGAGGATGTTCAGAGATCCTGGAACAGAGGGTTCATCTCTATTTTGTTGAAATAGTCTGCGTCGAACTAATGTTGATYGTAGAAAAACCCAGAAAAAGCACAAGTTGTGGCAAGGATTTTATCTTGGTGAAGCCAGCATAATTATTCACAGAAAATCCTGGTGGTTAGTAATTCTTGTTTAATATTAAACTTTGATGTGTGCAGCTTCTTTGTGTGCGTATGGGGGTGGTGGATTCTTATCACTTCGTCAGAAATCCAATGAATATGGAAGATTCCTGGCCCTTGTGTAACTCCACTGTGAATTAATTGTTCTGCTGCCTGCTGTGAAGCTGGTGCTGCACCCTCCCCCAGTTTRTGAAGAGGATGGGCTGCTGTTGGCAGGAGTGAGGGTAGAAACTGAACTTGGCAAAGCGTTACCTGGTGAACTGAACCAGCAGGGCTCRAAACTTGTATTTGATGATGTGCATTCAGTGAAACAGCAAAGTGGGCACAACAGGGACAGTAGTCATCACAATTMAATTTTTTCAATAGATTTTTGAAGGAGAACAAAGAAGTAGGGAGTCTGGGGGCAGGTTGTGGGCATATATAGTGTGAATAAATGTGAGGCAGGACAAAAAGGAAATGGCTTCACGCTAACCGCAGGCGAGGTTGGATTAGATATTAGGAAAAACATCCCTGTGAGGGTAGGGAGGCCCTGGCACAGGTTGCTCAGAGAAGCTGTGGCTGCCCCATCCCTGGAAGTGTCCAAGGCCAGGTTGGATGGGGCTTGGAGCAACCTGGAATAGGGGAAGGTGTTCCTACCCATGTCAGGGAGTGGAACAAGATGACCTTTAAGGCCYCTTCCAACCCAGGCCATTCTGTAATTCAGTGGTTCTACATCTGCTTTAGAGTGCAGAGGAGGATCTGGTTGAGCTCTGGAGCAGTGAATCAGGAGGTGACAGCAGGATGTGGATCAGGATGTGACAGCAGAGCGGTGCCAGCGCAGGCTGCAGCAGCCAGCCCACAAGAGAAGCTCTTGGGCAGGTCGCCCACGCTCAGCTTTTGGTGAGGCAGGTCTGGATGTGCCTCAGCTCCCTTGCTGCAGACACAGAGCTGGAGGAAGGTGGGAGCCTTTTCCTGCTGCAGCTGCTGTTATCTGAAGGATGTTTCTTATAACCTGGCCCTCCGTGGGAAGCGCTGCTGGCAGCCGGGGCGGTGGGATTTGGGAGCAGCCGTGGGAGGGCTGTGCTAAACAGGCACCATGTGTTTTGTTTGGGCAGCAGGGTAAACAGGGGTGTCCTGGCAGCTGACACCGTCTAATTTACAGGTGACTTAATGGACCTGATGACCCCTTTGCAGATTAAAAGCTGATGCTGCAAAGGGTGTCTTAGTAAACTGAAATTTTGGTATTAAAACCAAAGSTCCCGCAATTAACATCTGAAGGGCTTGTCCTCCAAAATCCTGTGAAAACTTCTTTGTATAGATAGAAATTTAATAGGGCAGGTTGTCCCTCTGAAATGCCACGTTAATGGAAAACTCAKCCAGATACTCATCACAATCTATTTTGGAACTCACTGGAATAAATGACTGAATACAATATATTTATTTCATATTTTGCAAGCTTGGATATTCTGTAACTTTTCAAAATAGTTTAATCTTAGCCCCCCRATGCCAGGTGGAGATATTGAGGGTAGCTGGAGGAAGTTTTTAATTGTCACGAGTGTCTTGAAGGTATAATAAAACATAAATATAGAAAAGCCCAAGCAGTGATCAACACAAGAGATTTGGCACCTACCCTTTCCTTGGAGGGGAACCTACTTTGACACTGGGATCCRTGCACCTGGTTCTCTGCCATCTTCATTTCCCTTTGCAAACTTTTTGGAGACATAAAGAGCACTTTTCCACTACTGCCATGTTAAATAACCAGAATTTAAAGCCCTTGCWTTACTACTTCAGAAGGCTTTTTAGAGCCCTAACTCCCTTCTGGGAGTTAAAAACCAATAAATGAATTTATTGCGTGTGCGTGTAGTTTTTCATGCTTARAGCTGTGTGCATGCCCTGGCAGGCTTCTTGTGGAGCATGGATTACTTGMAAATATATTTACACTGCTGGTCTGAGTTAAAAGTTTCCAGGTGCTACCATTACAGGCTATAAGTACGGCAGTGAAGGAGGGTGTTTTAATGATCTGGATTTGGAAACTGGCTCCTCTCCTGCCCGCCACCTCATATTTATGACATTCCTCAATCTTGCACTTCATTTCCCTCATTTTAAAAGTAATTGGGTGACTTTTCCAGCAAGAGTCTACACATATGATTGAGAAATTGTACAGCAGCAGTAGATGGGCTTTTGGCAGGGAGCATTCAGCTGCAGGGTGAGATGTGGGAAAATTCCTGCGGAAGACTGCGCTGTGGTGGGGCAGGATTGCAGSTGTGCTCCAGAGGCGGTATCATCTCATCACCTGGCACCACATCATGCCAGGCAGSACAAAAAGGATAACTGTGCCAGTGGTTTGGGTTTTTGGGTTTGGTTTCTTTGTTGTTTTTTTTTTTTTTTCTCCTCGGAGGGGAAGCTAAGGAAGAGAAGATGAGCACAGGCTTAATAGTAAAGTATAAGATGGGTGAATGAAAAGTGTTTTCTCAAGCTGAAGAAAGAAAATGAGCACAAGATTCATGATCTGATGGCAGAATAATCCCAGAATGGTTTGGGTTGAGGGGGCCTTCAAACTTGCCTAGTTCCACCCCCTGCCATGGGCAAGGACACCTTCCACTATCCCAGGTTGCTCCAAGCCCCATCCAGCCTGGCCTTGGACACTTCCAGGGATCCAGGGGCAGCCACAKTTTCAGTGGGCACCCTGTGCCAGGGCCTCACCACCCTTACAGGGAACCKTCCCAATATCCAGTGTAACCCTACTCTCTGTTAGTGGAAGCCATTCCCCCTTGTCCTGTCACTCCAGGCCCTTGTAAATCGTCTTCCCCCATCTTTCCTCTAGGTACCCTTCAGGTACTGGAAGGCCACAACTGGGTCACCCTAAAGCTTTCCCTTTTCCAGGCTAAGCAATCCCAATTCTCTCAGCCTTTCCTCACAGCAGAGCTGCTCCATCCCTCTGATCATCCTGATGCCTCTGGACTGGCTCCAGCAGCTCCAGCTCCTTCCTGTGCTGGTCCCAGGGCTGGAGCAGCTCTGCAGGTGGGATCTCACCTGAGCGGGGCAGAGGGGCAGAATCTCCCCTTTCCTGCTGCCCACGCTGGGGGATCAGCCCAGGACATGGGGCGAAGATAAGGGTATTGATCACTCTTGAATTACAGAGATGTGAATCAATTTATGTATTTATTAGAGAAAGTGTTTCTTGGTAATGAATCTTTTGGAAAAGCACACATCTAACAAGTGTAACAGCTTGAATGCTTCTGACGTCTCATTCAGTGCTACTTTGTTGTTGTTACCCACCASAGATGTAAATAATTAACCTGGAGATCTGGCTGGGTTCTCTGCTTTGCTTCCACACATCAGTGAGAGCTCTCACAGCCAGGGCCTGTTCTGAGCTGAAAGGACAATTACAACKGATGGTACTTCCTCCCTTCCCTGTTTTCCCACCACTGGTGGGAGTCAGAGCAGTGATGGCTCCTGGTTTACCAWGCCAGGCTGCCGTGCTTTTGAAACATTTGGTTTCCAGCTGCAGAATCTGAGGCCAGTCCCTTTGGCTTGTACTTTCAAGATGTGCTTGGTCCCGAGACAAATTCCTGTGYGCACTCAGGTATTTGTTGTTAATTCACACGGAAGAGCAAGCCAGGAGTGGTTAGCCCAGTTTTTCTGAGTAATAATTCGTTAATTCTCATGGAACTATGAGGTAAAATTGGAAGAATATAATTTTTTTTCCTGTACACTTGCTTTTCTTTTTCTCAGAAGCTTGACCAGAACTGTATGAAAACCTTTTTTCCCCAAGCAATATTTAACAGTAAYGTTTCAAGACACGCAAAATCTGCGGCATTTAGGGCTAATTGTGGACAATGATTTCTGTAGGAGTACCTTCTGTGTGCTCTGCTGGCAAGGCTTTGAATGTCTCTTCGAGGGCTGACACTTGGAGACCACAGTGTAAGCTGATATTAGGGCCTGAAGTGAGAAGAGAATGATCTCCTCCCACTCGTGAATCGGTGRGATGAGATTCTGCCCTGCCAGTTCACACAGCAGATGAGCCTGTACTTCTGGTTCAAGGCAAGTGCACTGTGCTGGGCTCCCAGCTGCGTTTGCAGCTCCTGCTTTAAGGGCACAGCACAAAACTTGCCTTGGCTGTTTTGTAAATTCCTTCCTCTCCTCACTTGCACATTCTTCTCCCCCTTTGGATTCATATTCCTTTGGAATGAAATAAGTTACCAATGCTTTCTAGTAAAAAAAAAAAAAAAAAAAAAAAAAAAAAAAAGAAAAGAAAAAAAGAGAAAAGCACATTGTTGTGGCTTGAATGGGGAAATGGGGAGGGTGAGACTGTGGAACATGGTGCTTACTTAAGCAGGGAAGAAATGGAGGTTTTTGATGGTTAATGTGTGTTTTATACCCTCTGTGGGAAGATGCACAGGAAAATTTGAAGAGGCATGATGTGGAAGGTGTTCTTAGTACACTGTACTTCTGCCACCATGTAACCATGCAACACTGGCTTGTTCTGTCCTGTTTCAAAGCTATTTCTATGAAAAATTTATTTTTGTGGGTAATCTCCTGTGATGAGGTAACCAGAAAAGCCATCTGCTTTTAATACTGTGGATGAAACACGTTTGGGATTTTTTTTTTGTGATACCCTAACGCATGAAAGTGCTCTTTAAAGCATTTGACTGCTTAGATTTGTATTGACTCTTTTTTTTTTGGGGGGGACACATCTGCCACAGAGGTGATTGTTTAAAAGTGTGTGTTTTCTCCTGTGGGATAAACTTTCTAAAGAGGACAGTGTCATCACAGAACCCTAAAATGGTTTGGGTTGGAAAATATTTTTTAA